GAGGCAGAGGCGAGAGGATTGCCTGAATCCAGGGGTTCGAGACCAGCCTGGGCAACTTGGCGAGACCTCTTCTTTACAATAAATTTTTAAAAAAATTAGCCGGGCATGATGGCAAACACCTGTAGTTCCAGCTACTTGGAAGTTTGAGGTGAAGCTTCTAGATTTGGCCTTCATTGCTCCCTTAACATGTACTTGTACCAGCACAGTGTGAGCCAGAGAGACAGAGAGAAATTATCCCGAGCATGAACTCTCAGGCTCTAAAGAGAGCTCTGACACTCCATTGTTCCTCAAGCCAGCCACATGTCCCAGAATGTAGTCAGAACTCAAGCTAAGGAGATCTGAGCAATGGTCTGAATGACCAGGCCCTCTGGCTCAAGAGACTATGAGTTTTCTAGGGGCTAAGTGAAGAGAATAGTTGCAAGTCCCTTGTTCTGAGTCAAAGGAAAGGGGGATATTTCCTAGATAGTAGTTTCTGAGTGGGTGCAGGTTGTCCTGAAGATAGCACATACTGACAGGTGAAGGCTCTGTTTTACAGCACACTGCAGCGGTGGTGAGTGCCAAGAGCTACATGTGCCCTGTCTGTGGCCGGGCCCTTAGCTCCCCGGGGTCACTGGGTCGCCACCTCCTAATCCACTCGGAGGACCAGCGGTCTAACTGTGCTGTGTGTGGAGCCCGTTTCACCAGCCATGCCACTTTTAACAGGTTAGCCGGGCACCTATCCCTATTGTGCTGGGAGAAATTACTGGGTATGGGTTCTGCTTTCTCAAGCCAATGCGAAGGCCAGAGATAGGTAATGCAAAGGCTCATGACTCATGACTATTTGGGAATACAAGCACGGAGGCTAGGAAATAAGCCTATTCCATCAGATATCCCCAAAGGAAAATGAATTCCCTTTTATTTTCCCACTGGAATAGTATTTTAACTAGAAAGAAATGTAGGAAAGTCCAAGAACATTCATAATAAAGCACGGAAAAAGAACTTACAGGGTGCTGAGACATAGTCTCCACTGTGTCCTAGGAAGACTGGAACCATGTGAACATCGTGTCCTTGTCCCATTTGCCTAGTATACAGTGCAGAGTCTATCTTTGTACTGCAGACAGTGTCAGGGGAGGAGGAGATAAGTCAGTGGTCTGCACCCTGCCTGAGGGAGGTCTCCACCTTCAGGAGCCTTCATTCCCACAGAAAGAATGCCCCTGCACAGCTCTTACCAAACACCATCATTCCAGCTTGAATGAAAACTTCATATTGTAAGGATTCGTCTGATTTCTGGCATGTTGCCCGCTTCAGCCTCAGTCATTATCTCCAGGTTGGCTTTAAGACTTGGTAGATACACTCACCCAAAAAGAAGGGATGGAGAAGTAGAAGAGGTCTGTCAAGCAACCAAACTGAATCCTAGTAGTGAACTTGGAGCAACTGGCCTTGTAGGAAAAGAGTAAGCCAGGGCTGAAGTCTTGAGCCTTGCTGGAAGGAGACACTAACCATCCAACATTTTTGCTTTCCAGTGAGAAACTTCCTGAAGTACTTAATATGGAATCCCTACCCATAGCCCACAATGAAGGCCCCTCCAATGCTGAGGGGAAGGACATTGCCTTTAGTCCTCCAGTGTACCCTGCTGGAATTCTACTTGTGTGCAACAACTGTGCTGCCTACCGTAAGCTACTGGAAGCTCAGACCCCTAGTGTACGCAAGTGGGCCCTACGTCGACAGAATGAGCCTTTAGAAGTACGGCTGCAGCGGCTGGAAAGAGAGCGCACGGCCAAGAAGAGCCGGCGGGACAATGAGACCCCCGAGGAGCGGGAGGTGAGGCGCATGAGGGACCGTGAAGCCAAGCGCCTGCAGCGCATGCAGGAGACAGATGAGCAGCGGGCACGCCGGCTGCAGCGGGATAGGGAGGCCATGAGGCTGAAGCGGGCCAATGAAACCCCAGAGAAGCGGCAGGCCCGACTCATCCGAGAGCGAGAGGCCAAGCGGCTCA